AAATGTGTTTAAAATATACAAATATATTTTAGACAGGAATTAATTTTTTTAAATAATTGGTTGTTATTTGTGAAAACGCTTAAAACCAACAGCAAAACCGTAAACAGCATTTCCATTTTCAGGATTCTGAAAAGTATTCGTAAACACTTTTAAGTTTCTATTATGAAATTTACTTTTCTGCTGTAGAACAAACTAAAAAAGCTGCAAATTATACCTTGAACTGCTGGCTAAAAATTATGCATTATATTTGTTGGGTTAAAAACAAATTTATAGACTTTAGATTTATTTTAGAATGCATTCTTTATAGTTAACAGTGAATTAGCATTTTTCCTTTTTGTTGGGGAGGCGGCAAGTCAAGTTTAAACAAGTTTTAAAAGAAAAGTTTAGTAAGAAAAAAATTTAACTAGAAACGTTTTTTAAAACAAAAAGTAATAAACTTTCTCACAATAAGAGATATATAATTTTTCAAAACGTTAGTTTCGGTTCAGTAACTATCATTATTTAATCTTTAGAAGTGCCATTTTATTTAGATAAATGAGTTGAAATTCTTAAATTAACTTCCAGATATTACACTTTATGCTTTAAATATGCACTACTCCCAACTTTTTAAAGTTCTGTGATTTAACATGCGTTACACTCTTTAAAATTTTCTTGAAAAATGGAATATCTAGCTTTTCTTTCAGCACAATAAAAATGTGGTCTATTTTCTGTCGTAGTCTGGGGTTCACCACTGGCTAAACAGTAACAAGGCTTAACATTGATAGTTCAAATCCCAATAAGAAGGCTGGCTGACAGTCTTTTTTTTTTGTTTTGTTTTGTTTTGTTTCCATGTGCAATATGAATACAAGCAAAATTTCCTTAAAATGTCATCTATGAAGACGTTCTTCTACACAAGCAGCCTCTTGTGTTTTTACATAATTAAAATGATCCAATCTAACTGATGTGGCCTGAGACTTTGCTGGACTATGTTTTGAAGTTAATACATGCTTGGGACTTTTCTGTTGGTTTCATCCTATAAAACTATGTTCCATGAAACAAAAAAGCTCTCATTCAACAAAATCATACTGATGCCAACAATTTTTTCAAAATCAAACAGGTAATTTTTCAGAACATTAGTATTGAATTTGCTTAATTCTTAGATGTGCCACTTGCTTTAAATGTTTTGCCAAAATATTTAACTAGCATTCAAGTATGTAGTACGCTATTTACCACTTTTTAAAGCTTTGTGATTCACATTTATTACAGCTTAGGCTTTAAAATGTGTTTGAAAAGTAAAATTTGCTGCCGTCATGGCGTAGCAAAAATGTGACTTAATTTCTCTGTACTTTATTTTGGAATAAAGGCAGACCTGAAGCTACTGTTCGTTTCACGTTGTAAAACTTCAATTCTAAACTTTTAATGTTTAATTCTCTTCATAAAATTAAAAGTGTGGTATTCCCGTTAATAAGCAAACAAAATGTGCGACAGATAAATATGCGAAGATTCAAGTTTTCAAACCTCGAATCTGAGATTTGTGGAATCCGAGGATTCAAATCCGCCGTTCATAGGATTAAGGAATTAATATCTCATTCATTACGATCCGCATGGATTATCGGCTTTCAGGTTTGTCCACTGCAGAAAAATGACCATTATTACTGTAGATACTTCACCCCTGAACGGAATAAAAATATTTAAAAATGATTTAACTTTGGACTTTCCGAAATGGCTGTTCGCTCTCTTCACTTAAGCAGCGTACGTGCATAGAAGTCAGTGTTCCAAGTCGTACGACTCGGCCTTTTCAGGGCCACTTACAAGTTCTGTTTTAAAATTATACTTTTTATGGCATGGTCAAACTGCGACATAATTTATTTATTTTTTTCCCAGTGGCGGACACTTGCCTGTAACGGAATTGGCCACTACTAAGGCCAGAAGTAGTGGCCATTTTATTGTGGAGGCACCTAATAGGCGGCACCGTTTACCTCCTAAGAAAGGACAGACAGACATCAATGACTTCTCCAAGATTGGAACTCAAGCTCTCCGGTATCGCAGTCAGGCTCCCCTAACGACTATACCGCCTGGGCGGCTTTAACATAATTTATTATCACTAATCATTTTACTTCAAATTTAGTTGAATGTAAGATTTAAAGTACAGAAGTATTGAGAAGTTCAACTTATTGTTAACACTCACAGACAGCCTCTCTCAGGCTTGGGGCCCCACAAATCTGAGGGTGTTGCAGGGCCACCAAATTCGCTCCTGATCCGACTGTTGTCTGTGATTGTACCCATATTTGAAAATTTATAGCTCTTATTTAGGAGGATACTTTATGGAAAACTACACTGGTGTGCAAAAATTAAGGGCGAAGTCGAAAAATTAGCATATCAGCTGAAGAAAGAGGCAGAGCGGACAGAAAGACCAATCAGGAGATTAAGTAAGGTGATGTACGGTAGCACATGCGCAGATATGCAGGTAGACGTAATGGGGGAGTGTCCTGAGTAGTATAAGCAGCGGTGTTGTCGGTGTAAGATCAGTATTTCTGGCAAAGAGATTGCACGCCGTATATATAGCAGTTAAAATCATACCGAGTTGCTGCCTCAGCGAGACATGGCGAATAATCAATCAGTTAGACGACATCTGGATGCTTTTACCCGAGGTCGAATCATTGGGAAGTTGGAGGAAGTCCGCAGTGTGACAAGTGTGGCTGCAGAGTTCGGAATTGCTCACAGCATCGTTTCACGACTTTGGAGACAATTTCAAACTACAGGAACAGCTATCCGGGGGTTTAGTAGTGGTCGTCCACGAGGAACCAACACCACAGATGACCGGTATATTGCCTTACAGGCCAGAAGAAACAGACGGCAGACAGCGGGAGAAATCGCTAGACACACGACACAGGCGACTGGACGATCGATATCGCGTTTTAACGTGGCCAGAAGACTGCACGGTGGTGGTCTGTTTGCACGACGCCCTGTGCGGTGTGTATCTCTAACGCCTACCCATCGGAGAAGGCGTTCTCTGTGGTGCCGGGAACACCGAAATTGGAGAGACAATGAATGCGGACGAGTACTCTTTACAGATGAGAGCAGATTCAGTCTGGGTAGCGATTCTCATCGCATACTCATCTGGAGAGAGCGGGGAAGCCGCAATCATCCCTCGAACATCATTGAAAGGGACAGGTATGGAGGTGGCGGTGTTCTCGTTTGGGGAGGCATCATGCTTGGTAGTCGTACAGACCTTCACATCTTCGACGCAGGTTCAGTCAACGGGACCCGTTATTGTAACGAGATTCTTCTTCCATATGTGCGTCTTTTTAGAGGCGCTATGGGTCCTCAGTTCCTTTTCATGGACGACAATGCACCATGTCATCGCACAGTAGCTGCCGAACAGCTCTTAGAGAATGAGGATATTGAACGTATGGATTGGCCGGCAAGATCTCCGGATCTCAATCCCATCGAGCATGTATGGGATTTTCTAGGCAGATGCTCGGCAGCTCGTATCTTACCACCAGTAACGATTCCGGAGCTTCGATTGGCGCTGCAAGACGAATGGGCAGCAATGCCTCAACAACTCATCGACACCCTCATTCTCAGCATGGGCAGACGCTGTGAAACCTGCCTAGTCAGGGGAGATCATATCCCCTATTAAAGACCGGATGTTTCTTGCTGGACACCCATCACAGGGATGTTTCGGCCTTCAGTCGCATTGCGCTCCATGCTACTTTTTCAATAAAGCTTCTTTTTATCCCTCTGATTTCTCTTTTAGTAAGTGTTGCTTACATTACTCATGTCCTTACGTATTGGGGATCTTACGGTATTAAATGTGTTGATATGGAAAGCTTTTGTACAAAGTTATTTTGAAAAAAACCGTCTCGTCCTTAATTTTTGCACACCAGTGTATATTCGCAAATTCAACGGTTTAATGTGCAGGTAGTTCTAGATAAGAAAAATTTTATTGCCTGAAGTACGGGTTATTAAATCTGAAATGTATATCTCTAATGATATCATCTTTTTTTTTCAGTATCTAGACAGACAGCCAAAATTATTAGCGGCTATACGAAATTCTATATGTGACTTATCCTACATCTAACATGCATGAGGCAGTTAATGATAGCTATTAAAAGTATAGCAGCGTAGAATGTCTGCTGTTATTAAGTATCTTTGGGCTAAAGTCTAATGAGTAGCTCAAAACAGCCTTCTTATTATAACTTGAGATTCATGTAATGTAAACAAAATGAAGAATTAAATGTTGTGCATAAAAATGATGGGCTATTAAAATATGCGTTAGCATTTTCATCAGGAGAATAATTATTAAACTATGTTTCTGAAGGTTAGATCTAAATATTATTTCTGGTGCTTAACTTGATGTAACGAAAATTTTTTCGTTCTAAGATACTCAGTCTTAGTCTAAGCGGAGTACTAAATACCTACTATTATTCGTGCTATTTTTCAAGTATTTTTTCGAGCTATTATTCAACAACGTGTTTTGTCGCAATCTGTGCATTTTGATAAGCTGTATAAAAGGAAATCTATTTTAATGTCTGGTTTGGGGGTGTGAGAATAATCTCCATTCGGTCTTATCCTCTCTGAGAGTGAAGTACAATAATTTAAAATTTTCCCTTTGTGTTGTTGAGATTCTTGTCTATCATAATACAGAACAGAATGATCTTACAAACAAAATATTTGGGGGTATATCAGCTCATTATTAGATCAACATACTCTGATCATTTACTCTGTATTATTTTCATGTTATTTCATACAGAAAAATACAATATCACATATAACTGCAGTAAATTCAATATCTGTGTACAAAATTCGTGATAATAATAAATTCATAAGTAAATTTGCTTAAAATGGTCGCCAAGTTTCGCAATTTTTAGCGATTTCTCGCCAAATTTGGTGACAAAAGATTTGTCGCCAAAACTGTTGCCGGCTTAGCGATATCTCGCCAAATCACATAAAACTGCATGAAAATCATTATCTACGTATAAAATTAGTTACAAAAATTAATTCATATGTAAACTTACTGTTTGTTTCCTTCTTTAGCTGGATTTCTGGGATACTTGAGTCTCAAATTTTTTCTGATGTCTGAGCTTGCATTAACAGTACGTACATGAGAAAACTTGCCAGGTAAAAGCAATGCCATTTCTATAAGAAAATAAATAAATGAAACATACCTAAATTTATTATAAAAAATTCAAAAGAATATGTAAAATGTTGTTACTACCTATGCAAAATGTAATCTTATTTAGGGAAAATTATGTATTTCGAAAGAATTCAAAAACAAAAACTCAAATGTATTTATTTTAGTATTCTTTGCTTTGTTACAAAGAAGGAAAAGGGGTGAAAATTTTGAATCCCTTTCACTGCATATTGCTTTGAATACGAAGGATAGATTGTTGAGTGTTGTTAACCGCGCTTCATGCAGGTATCATTTTCCTCTCTGCAGTTGGCACTACTAAAAACTATGTCTAAAATGAGGTAGCATAGATTCATACATTCTCCTTTTTCAAACTATATTTGCATTTCTCTTCCGTCATTTTAAAATTTATTTTAACATCTCGAGGAGATTATTTGCGCAATTAAATAGGACATACCGGATCATTATACAATGAACCCTTGACGAACGCAGATTTGCGAAAGCGATTCACGTTATCATATTTTTTCCATTTAATTTCACCAACGCTAGAATTTCATTCATACGCGGTTCAACGCTCATTCATGAACAGTGAATACTTGTTGGCATCAGCTTTAGCCAGAAGTTACCAACTATTTTAAAGAATGTCCATTGGCTGAAAATGAAGGCAAACAAATCGTGCAAAAGCGGTGACCTATTTTCTTAATCTGAATCCATCAATGCGACTAAATCGCAGCTACTTCTTGTTAGAAGGAAGAAAATACTGGTCTCAGTTCAGCCACTTTACCTATTCGGCCAACGTGTCCCGATGGTAAACAAGGCCAAGTATTTAGGTGTTTACTTGAATCGAAGACTCACGTGGTGTACGCATGTCAATTACATTGCAAACAAGACCAGAGGAATTGCTCAACAATTACAAGTAGTGCTAGGGCGCAGCTCGCAGTTAGATCTGAGAAGGAAAACGACAGATTTATATTTCCATTTTAATGACCAATTATGTGTTATGCGTCCCCTGTCTGGGCGACTGCTACGAGCTCAGATATCAACAAATTGCAGGTGACTCAAAACACAATCTCTTACGCACCATTACAGGAGCGCATTTTTACATCCGTAACAAACTCCTGCACGATGATTTACAAGTTGAATATATTGAGAAATATCTGCAAAAACTTTTAACAGGCAAGTTCTTTGACAAAGGTTTGAATTGCAGTTTAAAGGAAAACTTTAATGCTGTACTGAACTATGTTCTGCATTCCTGAGGACTACAGTATCAGGCCTTTTCACGGCTCACAGAATGAGGGATCACAATTTTGTCACTTAGCCCACTCGTTTTCAATATGTAAATAACACATTTTTATGCGTACATTACTTCACTTTCATTTATTTATTACATGTTCAACACTGTATCCTATGCACATTTCATGTATTTTCATTTCTTTTGCATCTTCATAGCTGCATACACGTGATTATTACTCTTGTCTCAGGGGTGAGAGTTAAGTTACTTTGATGATTGGACTTTGTCACTATGGCCGATGGGCCTCTTTTCCTTACCCGCTCCGATTTCCCGGCTGGGAACTAGCTGATAGTTGACATTCTGATTTTCCTTACGGGATTAGATCAATATAGCTTATTAAAGCCCAACTGGGCTAATATAAGCATAAGCAATTAGCATTTAAGCATTTAAGCTTAATCTGACTTAATACATTTTTCATAGCAAATTAACTCTGTAGAATTCCATTTTGCTGAGCGTTCACTGTATTACTGACGTAAACCTCGCGTTCGGTAAAGGTTTGTTGCGATACATATTGCTGCGTGCGTACAGGTTCGTAATAAATTGAATGCACACAGAATTGATGATGGCTTGATAAAATTTATTTTACCAAAAGTAACACTTCACAATTCTGGAAACTTCCGCAAACAAAGTCCTACAGCTCTTCACAGTATTACAGAGTGCGCAGTAGTTATACTTCAAACTACTAAGAACGTTAAACACAACGCAGTGCAAAGTGCATCTAAAGAGCGAAGTTAACCCGGAGGTAAGTCAGTACTACGAACTCACGCTGAACTGAAAGCAGATTCTCTCTCCTGTCTTAAACAGTTTTTACCCAGGCCAAAATTCGGGCTTCGAAGTCTTTATATTCGGATAAAAGACTACATGTCTTCAAAATTTGATGGTTATATGTGCCACTATTTTTCTGTAGCACGATGAACTCACATAGTCTCCGAAAATTTTCATTCGATATTAATACAGATACTGATAATATGAAATATATTTAAATTAATTTAAATTCTCAGTGATCATACTGATATTGCAAGAAGATAAAGGAATCGTCGTTATGCAAAGGTTTCTTATCACAATTCTGTCTCTTTCTCTACTAGGAAGATAACTTAATTTATAGTAAAAAATGTTATGTAAAAGAGAGGCTGTTTCTTTACTGCCATTCTTACCAGCAAGCAAGCAAGAATCCATTTTCTTCTGATAAAAGTAATTCTAACACTTACTCGAAATAATCTATATAAACCTTTCGAAGAGCACAGGAAACAGTTCCCGGAAAATATTGGAAGAACTTGAAATAATCCTTGGAATAATATTGACATAATTTCGGTTCAATTTTCGTATTCCTTTCTATTCTTCCCTTTTCTTCTACTCAATATTTTTTTTTTTTCTTTTAACAAAAATGACTGAGGATCCTTAAATTCATGCACGCTCCAAATTGCATAAAAGAATGGAATCAAAAAAAAAAAAAAAAAAAAAAAAAAAAAAATCTGAAAGGTTTCAGATTTTAAATTATGTCTAAAGGGGCGTTTTTTTTAATGTTTTGTGTGTTTTAATAACCTTTATTTATTAAATATCATGTTCTTTGCACTTAAACCATAAAATTCAGTTCAATAGCAATGTCGCAAAATAATATTAAAATGAGCATATCTTTAAAATTTCCGGTACACAGTTCCGCACGCTGGAGTTATAAAGGTTTCTCCCCCCCCCGTAGAGTGTTACCATTACTCGCTTTGAAATCCTTGAGTTTGTTAATCAAAAATTCTTTAAAGTTTTACAAAATATGAAATTGATGATAAAAAAGTAAAATTCGAATCCTCCTACGAATTTGACGAATTTGAATATGCCCATATTCGTAGGAGGATTACGTCATTCAAAATTCGATGGCTCTATGTACTACATGCAGATTTTTCATTATTTAATTTCTTCAAATATAATGCAGGACTCTAACACTGGGTGGCAACAGTTGGAAAAGTGAAACGGACATTTACAGTGATTCAACGCAAAATCGCACAACGTAAGTCCTTCAGGGACAAAGTTCCTTTGAACTGGAAAAAAAAAAAAAAAAAAAAAAAAAAAACTGAAAGCTTTAAAATTTTATATTACGCCCAAAAGGGCGTTTTTTTTTTATCGTTTTGTGTGTTACCTTTATTTATTAAATATCACGTTCTTCGCACTTAAATGATATAAAGTTCGATTGAAGAGCAATATTACAAAATATTTAAAAAAACAGCATATCTTTAGAATTTCCGATACACAGTCTCGCGCGCTGGAGATAAAAAGTTTTTTTTTTTTTTTTTTTTTCCCTTTCCCCTTCGTTCAGTGTTGCCATTGCTCGCTTTGAAATCGTTGATTTTGTCAATCAAAAATTCTTTAAAGTTATACGAATTATGAAATAGGTAATAAAACAAATTCAAAATTCATGCTTTCAAGAGCCCATTTTTGGTTGGAGGACAACGGTATTCAAAATTTGATGGCTCTAGGTACCGTTGTTTTATCACAATGCGAGAAACATTTATGCATTCATGCAGATTCTTCACTATTTAGTTTCTTTAAATATAATACACGACTATAATATTTGGTGGATTGTAAAGTGAATCAATGCAGAAAATGAAACGACGCAAAATGCTATTTTGAGACTAATAGCCCTTTGGGTCTAACAGCCCGTTTGGGTAAAAAAAAAATGTTATGAAAAATAATGATTAAAACAATGATTGTAACTTAATAATATTAGTTTAAGGTTGCTAAAGTAATAATGCAATTTAAAAGGGAAAATAACACATGAAATAGTATCAGCGAAATCAATATAATTAAGAGCTGATCAATAAATAAGGGATTAAAAGTATATATTCTTATATCTGGACGTTCTTTTAAAATATTAAAATCAATTTATGATTAAAAATTTGAGTGATAACTACTCATTTCAATAAAGTCTTTAAACTCTAAGAACAAGAAGTATCGGAGCTCGACTTCGTAATAAATAGAAATGAATCGTAATAATTGAGAAATTATTAATCATGCAGCATTTAATTTAGCAGATACTAAAATTTATACAGATTTGAACTACCAACTATATGCCCAACTTTCTTAAAAAAAAAAAAAAAAAAAAAAAAGAGGTGCCCAAAACTTGAGCAGTTTGGAGGAGGTGTATTCTATGTAAAATATATATATCGTTTTTTTAATATTAAACCCTGCGCAGGCAGATTTCTTTGTTTGTTTCATTAATTTCTTCGTCAACTTATAAGGTGTTTTCTCTCTCCTTCCAACATGCCTTCCTGGTGTAACGGTAGCATGCTAGGCGCGTATTCGAGAGGTCCAGGTTCGAATCCCGTCGAGGGCATTGCTCATTTTTCGTGTCTCAAAAATAATCTAATGCCTCTACAAACTTTATTTACTTAAGGAAAAAAATGTCTTCGTAGAGAAATTTCTAAGAAAATTTGGCTGCGTTTTACACTACACATGGAAAAATCAAGGAATGCTGCATATATCCAACAAGTTCAGTCCAGAGAAATGCAGTCAACGGACAGTGAACAATTTAATTAAGTAACGTAAGCATGATTATTTTTATAAATTTATCATTAGACAAAAAGTTAAGAGAAGTTCTTTGTTTAAAATATATTTAGTAATAAATGAAATAAATCTGATGACATTCTTGACTTTCAATTAAGAAATGACCCACGTGTAATGCAATATTATAGTTAAATATTATGGTTAGCCTTAAATGAAATTCATGAA